ATGGCTCAACACGTAGCTGAACGTAGCAAAAGTGCAAAATGTCCCAACCCTCGTCGCCGAACTCCGCAAAGTTTAGTGTCAATTAACAAAGTTCTCAGCTTACTGATCAGGAGAACAGTTTAGCTAATCCCGGGTGATCGAGGGAGCACCCCTCCAAAAACAAGGTAGAGCTCTAAGAAAAATAATGGTGGCTTTCTACAGAAGCTATCTTTTTCCAGAAAAGACTGGTCAGAGTAAAATCCCTCACTTCTAACTTCACAATCTGCTTCTCGTCTTCGAACTCTAAAAAGTCCTTATTTCGACACAATCGACATCATCTCGTCCGGGTCGTAGTCCTCCGGCAAGACCATCTCATCTTCAGCAATCTCCTAAAAGTGCAGGTAGCAATGCAAATCTTCTGGAGAAAATCTGCCCTTAGTTGCTTACTTTCAACACGCTAGGCCTCTTGCTGATTCTTTTCTCGATGATTCCAATAACAAACGCTTTTTCATGCATCTCCAAATCTTCCAATTGTTTGTACACCATTTCATCACCTAATCATCAAGATTAACACTAAATCATGAAAAGGATCTTGACTGATCAAGAAAGGCAAAAACATCACCTAATTCTTTCTTTCCAGCATCGAGTATTCGCGATTTAAATAAATCCAGTCGAGACATGTAAACGTGATTGTACTGCCGCTCAAATGCATCCTTCCTATCGCCCGCAGTGAGCAGGAATTTCTTGGACCTGTTAGTGTAATCTGGATCAACACGTTGCACCATCTGAATACGAGCTCTTTGCTGTAGATTCAGAAGAAGTGCGGTTCAAAACACGAAACATGCAGAAAGAAATACTTGACAGCGCAGGATTTCCCTTTCACTTACACTTTTTAATCCCTCAGTCAAAACAAGAGAAAACGTGAGATTCATCAAAGACAGCCCCCGCAATAGTCAGATAGATAGTCGTCATTCCTTGTACGATTAAGATTATCCCACTTACGTGGCTTCATAGGAAGTAACGAAGGCGCAGCGACCCTCATAAGTGGCAGATCTAACGCCTCCCTAATTACCCCACCCACCAGAACTCAGCGAGTCTTTTCTGTCGCGAGTTCAGTTTCAGACTGTGTAATTCGCTTTTTCCACTGTCAGACGGTATTAGCAGTGTATACGCGAAGAAACAATTGTGAGCCAGAGGCAGCAGAACATCCATTTGCTCCATAAAACGAGCAGGTCCCGACAACTCGTTCAGTGACGCCGCCAGGTGGTCGTTATGGTACTGTCCATGATCTTTTACTGCTTATCAATTCCTGTAAAGTCTTTTGGCGGCTACAGGCTCGCCATTAAACACCACTACTTACAATATACAATCGCGGGGTTCGTCTTCGAGTGTATCTAGTGATAAGTGTTCAACGTCTAATTCAACACTGCTAAGCAGCTGCCCTTCAAATTTTTTCTTTCAAAAAAGATTGTTCGTTGAGGAAACGAGAAACATGTTCGTTGAGGAAAACGACAAACACAGGACAACTGGTAAATTCAGGACCCGTAGAGGAAAGACTTCACTCCCGATCTCAAGTTCCTTCTCCACCCTTATTCGCATTGTTGTGATGGTTTCTTCTCCTCTGGACAGCACCTCTTCCTGGTGTAACTTGCCCCTTTCGAAATACTGCACTTCCTGCGCTTAGTTTTTCCCAACCGCCCTTGTTCTTTTCACAACCTTTCGCGACGGCACCTAAGCAAAAAGCAACCAGCCTATCCATACCATATTTTCTTCAGGCTGCCGTGAAGCTCTACCGTGGAAACTCTATCTGGATTCCTACTGCAACATCTCCCTTGGCAGAGCAAAACCACACCACAGGACAAGTAGTTGTAGCACAGCTGCTTCATACACGCGGATAGAGAACTGCTTGAGGGTATGCGCCTAATCATTCATACACTGCGTCCCAAAAGTATACAGCCACCCATAAATCTCACAATATCCCTCCCTACACGACGTTTTCAAAAAAGCCTCTAGGTATAAAATGTGGTAATTACCAGTACCAATTTGCATGCCACTCCGAGAACTGACTTTCCACAGCAACTTCAACTTTCTTTATTTTTTGAAAATTTCTCACTATGACAATGTCCCACAAGTATACAGCCACTAAACGAATCGATTCAGAAAACAACAAGTGTACAGCAAATTTAATAAATCGTCGTTTCAATAATCTAGTGCAGCCCCATTCTTTCGAATAAGTTCAAAAATGCTGTTGTTCATGCTCGAATAGAGGTGGTCTGTAAGTGTTTTGTCGACATGGTGCCATGCGTCAATGATAGCCTCCTTGAGCTCACGGACATTTTCGAATCGCGCATTGTGCGCGTATATCCTGCGTACCATGAAGCCCCCAAACATTCTCGATAGGGTTTAGGTCTGGGCTATTCGCTGGCCAGGGCAAAAGAGTGATCTGATGACGGCTGAACCACGCTTGAGTGCTCCGGCTGACATGGATTGGTGCATTGTCTTGCACGAATACAGGACTTTCATGCCGTATCCTTCGCCAGAAAGGTAACAGACCTCGTCGCATTACCTCTACGTAGTCGGAAGAGTTCATTTTCTTCGATACGAAGCACAGCTTCAAACGTCCCGTTGATGCGATCGCAGCCCAGACCACGACACCACCCCCTCTGAAGTTTCGCCTCGAAAAATTGAGCTTGTCTTTCCTGAGATCGTGCCAGTAGAATCTATTTCCACCGGGGCCGTCGCAGTGGAACTTTTTCTCATTGGAAAATACGACCTAGAGAAAAAAAACTGAAAAGACAAGCAGAGGGCACCGCAGCACGAAAGCTAACCTTGCTCCAGTCGGTTCGGCAGCATCTTCTAGCAAAGGCGAGTCGGTTTTCGCGATGGCGGTCTGTCAGGAACGGTGCCTTCCTCATTTTCTCTCTGATGATGAACTCTGACTTCTTCAAGACACGCCAAACAGTATTTTTCGAGACATTGAGATTCAGCGATGACTTTATTTCCCTGCATGACATCGTGGAGTTGGACGCTTCTTTCAGGATACGACGTTTATCTCGTTCAGACAGCAAAGGAGGACGCCCAGAACTCTTCCTGACTCCATATCCTGCGGGATCCCTGACAAACTGATCGATAACATAATGACTGCGGCCCAACTCTCTTGCGATTTGACGATTCGACAGTCCTTGAGCCTTCTTTGCGATAATCTGCCCCTTTTCGAAGTCAGACAGTGAAAGCCCTCTCGCCATAACCTGGAAAAGGTCAAAGGTAGAGATGATGAGAAAGTTTACCCGAAAAAAATGAGACGCAATGGGAAAATATGCGGTGGAAGTATACTTGTGGGACATTGTCAGAGTGAGAAATTTTCAAAAAATAAAGAAAGTTGAAGTTGCTCTGGAAAGTCAGTTCTCGGAGTTGGCATGCAAATTGGTACTGGTAATTACCACATTTTATACCTAGAGGCTTTTTTTGAAAACGTCGTGTAGGGAGGGATATTGTGAGATTTATGGGTGGCTGTATACTTTTGGGACGCAGTGTATATTATACTTTTCTACTGAATGTCCAGCTATGGTCTTCTCACCATCGAAGCAACAATATAACGACAACTTTGCATCCGATTTGCTTCTTGAAAAATATGCGGGCTATTCACCTGCCTGCTAAACTTGGCAAAAAAAACTGTTTATTGAAGACAAACCCTCCTCATAGTATATTGTCGAAAAAGGCGTTTAATTGTAAGCATTTAGTCTCTAAGTGTCTCTCGAGGGAAAAGAAAAAAAACATGTGGACTACCTAAATAGGAACCCTTTGCGGCGTCTCTTACCGGGGAAGTCCGCCATCTTACCATGGAACTTTGGATGGAGACCTGGGTAGATCGATAGAGTCTATAAGGTTATTTACAAATATAGATAGCAAAACTGCAACCTGCATTTCACAAGCAACTTATGAGCAGGCAAAGTTTGTAAGTGGTGCATAGGCTTGGAGTTCTGGTGGGCGGGACAACAAGGAATGCTTCAGAACCGCCACTTATGAGGGATCGCAGCGCCTTTGTTAATTACTGTAAAGCAGCAAAAGTGGTACAGTTCTAGAGTTGTGGACCAGAAAGGGAAAGACGCCTACGAACTGCCCGGGCGAGGACGGCCGTTAAGCACAAGACATCCACTAACGCCTCTCAGGAAGAAAATATTTTTCACTAACTCTTTTTCTACGAAGACGCGGGAAGACAGCACGGCTGGAAAAAGAAACAGGAAGAGTGACTCACATGAGTTGAAACGGAGATGAAAAAAGTCGAAACCGACAGAAGTGAATGGAATTGCTGAGCGCCTTTGAATTTTGAAATGTTCAAGCCTTATGACTTCGAAGTATTAACTATTATTAATTAATGAGCCAAGTGATCAAAATCTTTTGAATTCTGGAAGCACTGTGGACAACAAAGTTTTCCAAAAAATGAAAGTTCCTTGGCAACTGGAGAACGCCCTTCTATAGCTACCACTAAGGCGAAATAGATAGTTTGGCCGCCACTCAACCAACACAAAATGATAACTACAGTTTCATAAACTCTACTTTATCAATAAACAATAGCATGCACCAGAGTCGTAAAAAAGATACTTCTCTCTAAACAATATCTCGAACGAAACCACCCCTCCCATACATCTCCAATTAAGTTACAATAATATAAATTGTACGAACAAAATCATCAGGATTTTGTAGCTGATGTCAAACAATAGACACGGCCCAAATGGTTATAAATATCTATAGATCAGAAATCTTGGCTCTAACAATTGCGAATTACACGAGCAGGAAAGAAATTATTACACGCACATAGGACTTTTGAGGAAAAATCACAAGCATTATTTTAAACTACGAATGGACCGCGCTTATCACATAATAGAGGAACAGATGTTCCAGAACGAAGACACTAAATTAAATAAATAGAATACGGTGAAAACAGACAACGTATTAACAATGATGAACCATGTGCATCACAATCGAGTTGGCAGATAGTGTTACTGAGCGTAACAATCCGATCAAGCGAGTAAGTTTCTAATCTCACGATGGATATAGCATAAGAAGTCCACGTAGGACATAACATTCGGTCCAGAGCGATCCTAAACGAGTTATTTACTACTGATCAATAACGTAAATAGGAAAGGATGTCTGGCTATTTGAAATAAGAAGTATACCGAGCGACACGTCTTTAGACGCTAGTTTCATAATTGTCTTCCAAATCTGCTGAACGATTCTCCGAACAAATATGTGGGATTTCTTGAGATGACTATTGCTCAAACCACAAAATGTAGAAGTAAATGATGCCTCAGGGTAGAAGTGCAAATGATGCCTTAGGGAAGACTGAATTACTTCAACAGCTTAGTGGATAAGCGATCTCCCTCATGCTTGGCTCAAATCTTTCGGCTGCTTTGAAATACTTTGCGGCAGCGCACACCAGCGACCAGCAGCGTCTATCAGCGACCAGGAGTATGGTATCGTGTAGTAGTGGGGTACATGCAGACACTACAAACTAATGAGTCTCGAGTCCTAATCCAGCTGTCTCCTCCATCCTACTTCTCCATAATCTACCAGCAGTCTGCTACCCTCCTACTTCCCCATACTCTCTACTCCTGGTCGCTGGTGGACGCTGCTGCTCGCTAGATCGATATCTATATTTTCCTAGTCGCTGACGTTACGGATGCTCGAAAGGCTGATGGAGGCTGATGGAGGCTGCCAGAAAGTATAAAAACAGCTTTAGGTGGTTGGCTTGCGATTTCTCAAAAATGCCCCCAACATGTCCTGAAAGCACTTTCAGGACGCTAAAAGACCTAAGATTACCGAAAGGGTTGCTTCTGAAGGAACGGAGTCATTTTGGAAAACTGTTAAAGCACACTTGATCAATGGTTTAGGCGGCATGATTCGTTACGTGGTTGTGTCGCCAAACCGAAGCCAAATAGCAAGGCCGCCAAGAATGGACGTGATATTCGTGATCAGGACCGTCTGTTAAAAACGAGGATTGGAATTTAGCGAAAATACTCCACTGTCCTCTTGGATCCTAGTCGAGGACAGTGCCAGCGACCTTAAGGGATGTATCGCCCACAGTTACCCACCCCACTATTCCGAGGTTGAAATGTCCGGTTTTGCTAAATATCTGCCCATATCGCTAATTTTATCCTCGGAGCACGACAACGATATAACACTCGTTCAGTGAAATGCTCGCGCCATGCGCTACGGGCTCCTGCACACCGTCGCCGTCTTTAGCGCTACAGTCAGTGGCTCAAATAAGCGACGACGCCCGAATACAAACACGATATTTCCATGAGAAATGACTGCAGTGTCACTTCCCAGTGCACAACCTTCAGTTTCAGCTTTCACCAAAACTGGAGTTTTCTGGAGCCTCACACGTGCTGAGCCAAGTAAAAAGAACTGCATAACTCGGTTCAGAAGAGCGTTTCGCAGTATGAAAGGCAGAATGAAATTAGAGTTTTCAAGACGCGTCGGTCTGTGTACAGCCCATTCTGAATGGCCACTTCGACGAAACATCCTTTCCTGCTTATTTATAATGATCTTACTTCTACGAGGAATTTCTTCATCCATGGTTCCAAAGCATCTTTCTCTCGAATGACGAATAATTTCCTCTTTCGTGGTCCAACCTAGAAAAATACAGATTCCAGTAATGTGACCTTTTCTGCTGTATAACTGGCAGCTACCTCCTGAATTAGATCAACTGCACGACGAAGACCTCTTGAACGCGGGTTGTCCTTTTCTGGTATGTGAGCCTGAACGTTGAGTTAGCAATCTCCAGATTTTCGAATAACCTCCACGCTAGAAGACTCACGTTTTCTGTATCAAGCATAGCGACGTTGTTAACTCCAAAGATATCCTGGACCCATGATTCAGCAACACCAAGACCAATCCAGAGGAAAAGTACAATTCCGTTATCGATTAAGTACGCCTGAAAACGAGGCATAATTATAAAAATAAGGGGAAATTGTACAGTTAAATTCGACAGCAAGATACCACCTTTGTGTTGGACAGATTATCATAGCTTGCCCTAACAGAGCTCGCGATAGACGTAATCTCCTGAGGATCCTGCAGTTCCAGGTGATCAACTGGCGCAATCCTGAAAATTCGACTACTGTTCTGAGGCTTGACCTCTTCGAATTTGGAAAAAAAGTTACTTTGGATACAGCAGTAGCATCGTGTGATCTATCCGCATTCCGCGTATAAGCTCGATCATCCATACTTTATCATCAACGGTCATTTCACTGCCTGTAAAATTACAAAACTCGTTAAAGATTAATAGTGAAAGCCTTAGTATTCTCTTCTTTCAAAAATGGTAAGAGCGATCGAAAAAAAGAAAAAAAAACAAGAGCAACACCAAAAATCACCTCCATTAATGGAATCGTTTTTCACAATAGAGTTAACAAAGAGAGGCAAAAGCTTCAATGTTTCGGGTAATATCAGCTGACCAAGAGGGGCAGACTCGCTAACCTTCTCTCTGGAAATGTTGAGTTTTGAAAACGAACAGAAGTGAAGGAGTGATCTAGAAATAGACCTGTACGTTGCAAGAATTTGTGCACATCGTTGGAAGATTTGTTCTTTCATCTCCTTCAGACCTTTTTCACGGTTTGTTTGTACAGCTGGAATATTGCGATGAGGACTACGAAAATTCAAAAAAAAAGAGTTTGATACCATTTTTCAACAGATATGAAACGAGCGCTCCCTGATCTGCTACTCGGTATAACTGATTGTAGTCAGAAGACACAGGAAGACACAGGTTCAGAATGCGCAAGCGACGCTGTCCACTAACGGATGTGAATAGAATCGCACACTGAAAGTTTCTGATTTATGCTGAATTGGGAGTTGCAGCCCGAAAAGCTGCCTCCAAGCCATTCCAGGCAATGGGGACTTCTTTCGAGGCATTTCGGCGACGGCGGAAGAGGGGCATTTTTCACTACTGCTCTTTCCCATCGACGTGTCGAGCCTATACAGAGAGCTATTTCATGAGCTGATAAGAACTGACATGTTTTACCGTGGTGGCTCTACGGTCTTGCTTCATTTCACAAGAGTTCACAGGTTTCATGAGGGATGAGGGTGAGACTCTAAACAAGTGGAGCAGGGAGTGCGAAACAGCGCGCCCCCACCCCCTCCCCCACTCTCCCCAGCCGCCGAACTAACCTCTTGCTTCTTTCACAAAAAACACGAAATTAGCTGCGCCAGCTTCCTAATTGCCACAGCGCGTGTTTTCAAGCTTTCATGTCGGAATGTATCAGAATGATCTGCTTGTTATTTTCTTTACACGGGCAAAACATGCCCAAAAAATTTTGTCAGACAGAAAATTTTACGGCGCATTTCGGCGTGATGAGAGTGGCATTCGGCCATTCCCTGCTTTCCATCGTCGTGTTAACTGATTTGCAAAAGTTGACAGGTATCCTTCGCAAGAGTTAACAATTATTTTCTACAAACCTTGACTGGTATTACATCACGGCCTCACCAGATTTCACAAATCGCTACTTCATGGCTCGACACGCAACAATGGGAAGCATGAATAGCAAAGCGAAATTCCGAAATCCCCCCCCCCCCCCCCCCACATTCTAATTACCACTGGTTTAAAACACCGATTTGAAGGAAAGAAAAGGAATATACAGATGAATCGAAGAAAGTGAAAGGAACTTCTTAGAAGCTCAGGGAGAGATCATTTCCCTTAGATACCTGAATCGATGTTCAAGGTTGAATAGTTTACACCCGCAAATATTGAAATGGGATACTAATTCATTCGCAGCAACAAAATCAATGAAGCTAGCCCAATCTAGCAGCCTTTTTAGCTAAAAACAGCTAACCCCGGGAAAATACCTAGGTGACCTACCTGTATAATTGCATTCTGGTCGGAAAGCTTGTCGTCGTGCTTCAGTTCTGCGAAGAACGTCTAAACCGTATTTCATAAAGCTAATACAAGGTCATAGCCAAACGAAAAGTTACAAGTAAATACGGTATGGAACAAGGCATAAATAGTATTAGGAGTGATACCCACCTTATCCTCGTCTATTGACGCAATTTCCAAATCCGTCGTATTTTCCATATAAAATGAGCCTTGGAAGAGTACTGGCCGAATTCCTAGAGGTAACAGTTGACAGTAAAGTGGATGACCAACAATGTCCCATTAGCGAAAATTAAAATACGTCGTACTCACCTGCACTGGATCGCACTCTCGCCATACAATCAAATGCTATCTGGCGAGAAACGTCATGATTGAGGTCGGCCAAAAATCGAGGTGCGTCTTTGTCCGCCTTAATATAATTGGTTGTATCGGTTAGGTAAATAACACCAATGACGAAAGCAACAAACCACGAAATACTGGTATTTGTAGACGTTTCCACCAGTTACGGCCGAAAGCTGTGCAATAGAAGCAACATCCACAAACGAGTTAGGAAAAAGGAAAAGGTCCACAGTCACACCCGCTTTGACACACTGTTCGCCAAGCTTCGTATAAAACTCTCCTTGTGGGGTTAGAGCAGTCTGCAATCAAAACGAAATACTTCTTCGATATGACTGATCAAACGGTCTTGCATTTCTCTGGAAACCATCGAATTGCTTCAATTCTTCCTGCAGGTAAGACACTTCAAATGCAGAAATAGTGAAGACATCGTCTAATGCACAAAATAAACGTTAGATTTGTGAGCCATTTGCAATCCATGGAACATGGTGCCGTTTTCTTCCACGATCTAGAACTCTCTACCATTCCATAATTCCACTCGATACAGACATGCGAGCTTTGGAGAAGGAAAGAGTACACATAGAGAGATGTGGGCGCAGTTCGGCGGAAGGGGGTAGGGGCATTCTGCACTTTCGCTGCTCCACTAGTTCCGGTTTAAAATCTTACTCTTAGACCTGTGTACTCTTGTGAATCTGGAGCAAGCTCGTCTAGCAACCATGATAGAACCATCTCAGCTTTGTAAGCTCATAAACAGCTATTTAGATGGGTAGGCATATCGATGGGAAGTAGCAGAAGTGCAATGTGCCTCTTCTTCTTCCTCTCCGTGAACTGCCCCAGATATCTACTAGTCCCAAGAAATCTACATAGCCCTATCAAGAATGAAATTATTGACATAGTGCCAGAAGTACTCCTTCTTTCGTGTTCCTGTTTCTCGCTCATTCTCGCTTCTTCGTCTCCCTTTTTCTTTTGGTTCCATTTCTGCCTCCGATGACTAATACTTACGTTTCCCGTCTACAACACCTCTGACGCTGTACACTCCCACTTTTCTATTTCTTGGAATTTTGACACTTTCTTGATATCTAATCGTTCGCGGATTTATTTTTACTCTCCACGCCCTGCTGATAGTTTTGCTTCAGATTCTGTTATCATACCAAGCCAAGAAGACGGGGCTTTACAGTTTGTGGGTCTGATCAAATGAGGGTTCCATGTTTTCAACGTCGAAACATAGGAATGACATAAAATCGACCTACAGCTACTGCAGAACCACTTATTTTACTTGGGAAGAACAGACACAGCGAATGACATATAGCAAGACCAAATACCTTTTCTTTATCAGTGCCCAGCAAATTCCTTTCATTTCTTGCCTTCAACTTCCCTGGAGCTTCCACAGTAGGCAATGAAGTAGAGAAGATCATCAATTTACCAGCACGATCGGCACACTGAAATTTCTTTCTCAACAAGTCAGAAACTCAGCACAACAGCTACCACTAGTCACAGTTGGAGTGGTTACCGAACTGCCTGGTTGAGATCATTTGTGCATGGAGAAAAACAGCTAACAAGGGAATGGTTTGAACCTCCCATGGAACTTCGAAAGGAGACCTAACGGTCTCGCTTCCAAGTCAAACGCACGCGGGTTTGCATCCGATTGGCGCGAAAATTTTTGCTTTGCTCCTAGAGCTTTAACTCTAATTTTCGAAATTCTTCCGAGTTTACGGCCCAGCAGGGCAAGTAGATCAAGTATATGACGTACTCGATCTAGTATGGATTTGGTCATATCTGCCCTCTCTGAACATATTACCCATCCGACAATTCAAAGTTTTGCCCAGAATCGCAATTTGGCCAGACGAGCGTTTTTTCGTCGAAGGATGTGATATTCGTGTTCAGGGGGTCGAAATCTTCCCATGAACGAGTTTCTCGCCAAAACTTTGAATTGGGATGGGTAATATGTTCAGGGAGGGCAGATATGACCAAATCCGTACTAGATCGAGTACGTCATATACTTGATGTACTTGATCTACTTGCCCTGCTAGGCCGCAAACTCGGAAGAATTTCGAAAATTAGAGTTGAAGCTCTTATAGGGAGCGAAGCAAAAATTTTCGCGCCAACCGGATGCAAACCCGCATGCGTTTGACTTGAAAGCGAGACCGTTACACGAGGCCACGGTAGCACTGCCGAGACATCGATCAGCAGCGCTTACGAGCCAAACTGACTTTTCGCAAACTTTGACCTCCCAGATCTCGTCTGGGAGGTCCCGTAGCACTTTTAATCTGCATAGTAATCAGCATTCGAGGCTCTATCGATGTACCTAGGACTCCATTCGAAGTTCGTTCAAACCATTCCCTTGTAAGACAACCAAACAACCAAATTCGTGCATGAAGGAAAACGCCAACAGGTGTGCTGTGTGCATTATACGAACCCCCTTCAGACTGCGTGCACACTTAGCTTCAGCTTATTTCGAGCAGCGTTTTCGCGGGCAATTTCGCTCAAGATCAAATTGCCGCGAAGACGCTGGCGTTCGGCCACGTTCATAGCTTGCGTTCGTGAAGAAATGCAGAAATGCGGAAAATGCAGAAGTGCGGAATCTGCAGAAAAGCAATAGATACTTATCGACTTGAAGAAATGCAGAAATGCCGAAACTGCAGAAATGACGGAAAGCATTACATACGTATCGATTTGAAGAAATGCAGAAATGCCGAAAGTGAAATGCGGAATCTGCAGAAATGCCGAAAGTGAAGAAGTGCGGAATCTGCAGAAATGCCGAAAGTGCGGAATGTGCAGAAAAGCAACCGATACGTATCGATTTTCCGCACTTTCGGCATTTCTGCAGATTCCGCACTTCTTCACTTTCGGCATTTCTGCATTTCTTCAAGTCGATAAGTATCTATTGCTTTTCTGCAGATTCCGCACTTCTGCATTTTCCGCATTTCTGCATTTCTTCACGAACGCAAGCTATGAACGCGGCCTTCGGTGGATCGCTATATTTCCTTTCTTACGTACGCTAGAAACGCTGCCGTACGCTGACTCGAAGTATGAATGCAATCTCATGCAAACGTGGGGGAACGAAACAATACAGAAGGAGAAGAGCCATCGATTTGAGCTTTTTACAGAGGTTAGTGAGTCTGCGTGAAGTACTACATACTAACCTGAAGTGCATCCAATCCAGCCTGCACGACAGGCCCTAATATTGTCTCCGTTATTCTAGATGGCGCAAACAAACGAGGAATTTCAGCAAGAACTGCTCGAATTGAAGGCGCTGCTTGTGTATATGGCATAAGAAGGCCATCGACAATTGGAACGAACATGTCGTCAACATCTCCTAAATACTGGGTATTCCTTTCTAAAGGAGCAGGCTGGCTTCGACACAAAACCTAAACCATGCATCAAGCTGTGTGCAGCCTGATAAATAAAGAAATGCAGCCACTTGATCGAGGTAGCGAGTCCCACATGTATAACTGATTCAGAAGCACCTAGTTCTCTGAAAAAAAAAACTTTCGGAGGATAAGACAAAAGAAATAAAGGAAACAAATGTTGTTATGTAAAAAGAAGTCATGACTTACTTAGGCAAGCGTTGCAAAATCCTTTCAAGATTTGAACAGATCACATGTAGCATCCCATTTTGTATTGCATTATATGAAACATCAATCATGAATCATAAGATGCTGCTCTTTGGGAGGTAGGCCGTTCTGAAACGAAATCAGCCGCTGAGAGATTAACGAGCTATCGCAATCAAGTAGCTAACGAAGTAACGTGCCATAGCTATACTACCCATTATGCACGACTATGCTACCGGTTGTTGCATGACAATAAGATGAAGAAATAAGTGAAAAGTGCTTACCTTACAATACTGTTTGGTAGCAAAAATGGATATTCGTAAGCTCCTAAGAACAACTCTGGGCGATGATCGATGTCGGTTCGACGACCAGTGTGGTCAAGGTGAGCGAAATAGACGTCCTCCACTGAACACGAAGAGGATTCGATGCGTTAGAATTTTATCACTTGGACAAACGAACCACCAGAAAAAACTTAGTGAGCGAGTGAGACTTTTAGAAATCAGTTGCAGTTAGGAAATTAACCACCGACATCTATTTCTAGTAGCGTGCTATATTCCATCAAAGTCAAGCAGGTAGTACAGGGAATGGACCCAGGGAGATGGACAAGACAGTCGCAATTTGCCGCGTCACCGCAAGCGAGCTCCGTTCGGCTTGCGCGGCAATTCTCAATGTGCATCAAATTTATCTATTCAAGCAGCAAAGACAGGACCCCGAGACGGCTGATATCGAGATTTCTTTTCCCTTGACACGTTACTCGAACGATCAGGCAAGACGAGGGGCAATGCCTCGCCTGCTGTCATCACGCAGCACCCAGCGTGCAATACAGGGCTCGTCATTACAAGTGAGTGTCAGCGGGGATGTAGCCCGATATCAGAGCGTCTAGGATGCGGTATGTGATGTAATGAGGACTCCTGTAATTTGCCGCCTGCGTAGGGGTGCTGGCGTTCGCGTGCAACGTCCGCAGCGTCTGCGCGGTGTTTCCGAAGAGACGGATGGTTTAGGCGTAGATGGTGACAACATGTCAATGCAGGATCCATTGAGCACCAAAAGACAGTATGAGGGTCTGTACGATGACGGGTTCTCATTGAAGTCCGCTGGTGCTTCATTCGACCAGGAAAGTTGATAATACGCTAGTGTCTCGGTGCGTTATTGTCCGACACTCCATCGCGCGCGTTGTCGCTGTGTCGGCGATATTACGTAATCCTCTTTACCGTCTCCCCTAGATCAGGGCTTAAGAGTGTTTGTTTCAATTCCAAGCGGTGACTAGTATCTATTGCTCGTTAACAAATCACGAACCATATAAAATAGGATTTTTGTAGGATTTATATATTCAGGGAGCAAGATATGCTAAGCTCTGTAAGAAACATCGATCGTGCTCAACTAGGATTTGACAGCGTCAGAGTACACGAGCTAGAGTCATAGAAGACCGGCCAAAAAACTCCCCTTCCGTGGTCCAACATGCCGATACAAAAACGGGCTGGTTTTCAATGGGTAAACGACATGGTAAAGTCATGGAAGAAAATTATATGTAAATCAAACAATCAGTATAAAGCCTAACGTGGAGTAGAGCATGTACAAAATGGTACAGGCGGAAACGACGTGGACCGCCTACCAATCCTTGGACATTTCCCAGTGAAAGGGCACATTAATACGCTTACATAACGCTGACGCGAACAGAGTTCCGCTGCATGTCCAAGATCATGATGGGAGCGGGACGCTGGAAAGAAACCATAAAGCTTGTGCAGGAACGACCAATCTACTATAGAATCTCTCTATATATCACTTTATTCTGTAAAATGCCTTACTTTGTGTGTCGCTGCGATGAACCGTGTAGGTGTAATCTCCCAGTGTTTTTGATTGACAACAACCATTTGATTTTGGTAGATAAAAACACTGGTTACAAACTATGAGGCTTTGACGATTATGTTTTCCCCGACGGAAGGGATGGTCGCAAATTGAATGGAACGATGAGAAATACGAGAAGCCAGGATTTTAGGCGGCGATGAGATGGTAGAATTTCCTCTAGCAGTATGGAGGTGGGAAAGGGTGAGGGGAATTGGAAGGGGTGCAGCGAAGAAAACTGGTAGAAAATAATTAACACCAACCTCCTGTGGATGAAGGGTTGCAAACGGTGAACATGCCACAGCAAATGGAATCTGTGATGTTTTAAGCAAATCATTCGAAGCGGGCGCCATATACATTGTGGATCTCATAAGCCTTGGAGAACAGTTTCCTGAATAGTTTTCAAAAATTTAGAGAAAAATCAATGAACATTAATCAACACGCTGACGATGGGCGACTCGCGTCTGTCCGCCTCTCGAGACCGCGCACACTTCAGGCGCTGGTCGCTGCCTTTCATGAACAACATGTCGAAGCATTTCAAGTCAGCAACTACTTTGTCCGAGAGCTCGCTTTTGGTTTAGACGAACCAGCTTCCGCTAGTCTAGTATATTACAGTAAAGTTATATATATATTACAGTAATTTAATTTATTCTACAAAACATTTAATTAACCCTACGTTTGGTTAATTATTATTACATGGGGTCAACATAAGTAGGTAGTTTGGTTTCCGTTAGGCTGCTTCTTGTAACTCCACTAATTGCACAAAAGAAAACACTAAAAAAATTTCCAGGAAAAGCTCTATCAAATGAGTTCATGTCTAGGCAGCCGCCATTTACAGAACGCCACCACGAATACTAACGATCTCACTGACTTGCGAAAGTTGGAATTCGCCCTTCTCAACACTAAAACGCCTAGTCATCAGAGGCAAAAAAGGCATTCAGCACTAAGACGTCATATCGCCAACGTGTCAACATGGAGGGAAATACACAGACACTTTAACACTGAGGTTTCTCACCTTGATCGACTGCATAAAAATCTGTAGATACAAGAGGAGGAGGATTTGCGCATGAGGGTACCCTGAAGCAATTTCATACAAATGAGGAAACTATGCCCGTATCATCATTAAGCTTGAGAACAAACCTGTAGGGAATTGTCCCAGCTTGGCTGAGTCCTCATTCCATATTACTTCGACCTGAACTCCAGAATTAATGGCCTATTAAGGTTGCTGTTATTGTATGTAATTCCATACCGCACTTGGCATCATGTTCGGATCGAGGCGCTGCTGAGGTTGCGGCTGACGAGACTGCATGGAAGGACCACCTGGCATGCCAGGTCCTTGAGGAAATCCAGGCATTCCGGGTGGACCTGCTCCAAGCATGCCAGGAGGACCAGTTCCGGGCATACCAGGCTGACCAGCACCGGGCATACCAGGAGGACCACCACCTGGCATACCAGGCATACCAGGAGGACCAGCACCTGGCATTCCAGGAGGTGCAGCACCTGGCATACTAGGCATACCAGGAGGACCACCTGGCATACCTGACATACCAGGAGGACCACCTGGCAGACCAGGAGGACCGAGGCATATCCAGCGACCAGCAGTGGCATACCGTAAAGCATGCCGCGAACTAGGCCATACTGGATGACCATCCCCGGAGCATACACAGGAGGACTCAACACGGGCATACCAGGTGGTGCTGTCCCGGGTACACCACGAGGTCCACTTCCAGGCATACTAGGAGGACCACCTCCGAAATGAGACTGATTGCTCATAGCTGCAAACGATAAGTAAAAAAATCGTGAAGATTTGTCAGTAAAAGTTATAATACAACACCTGGCACTCTGGAAGCAGCAAACCCAGCGTTCTCTGTGGTGGAACTCCTCCTGCACCAGGAAAACCTGTAGGGCCGTGGCTACTTGTGGAAGAAGGAATATTCGGAGGAAAAGCTCCACCAGGAGTTTGCTGAGGACCTGCTGCTTTGCTGCTGAGGAGCTTGGGTGATGCACGCGTTCGGTTGTGGGTAACCAGGAGATGAGTGACTCTGCTGTGCTCCTATGCCATAAGATGGTTGTGAAGCTTGATTTGAACTTGGGAACGACTGCATCGGTTGTGGCGGGAAAGGCGCAGGGCGAGACTGGACCGACGTTTGTGGTACGGGCCCGTTTGATTGAGAAGTTGTTGAAGCAGCTTGTTGTTGGCCTTGAAAGTTAGCAGTCGAGTGTTGGGCAAAGCCATTGGCTGGAGCTTGATGATTATATTGAGGTTGAGAGTGTGCTCCCGCTCCAGGAATACCATTCATAGTTGGATGTCCACCAGGTTGTTGAGACAGAGGTGCAGGAGGGCCTGGAGGAAACGGTTTCGCTTGAGGGTAAGACTGTTGTGCATGATTCACCAAGTTTCCTGGCTGCTGAGTGTTATTGTATCCTTGCGACTGGTCGTATGTTGACTTCGGATAGCCACCAAACTGTGCTGAAACAGGATTTGGTTCATGTAGTAACAACATGTGCCAATAATACCGATGAAAACAAATATGTTCAAGAACTACCACTTTGGGTGCGCGTTAACATTTTGTGGGGGAAACGGAGCGCCTGGCTGTCCTTGAGGTGGCCCTCCACTTGCTGGAGGGAACGGAGGTGCAAACATCACCCTCCTAAAAACGAAGAATGAAGAAACAAAGAAATGGAGTCCAACAAGTGACGTGGCGACCACGAACGGGAAAGCACTCTACGTGCACAAGCCAACGAATCGATCTGGGCAAACAAAACACTGAAGTAAATGCGCGAATACAAATAGAATTCTTATTCCTGAAGGTTCCCGGACGATAAGTTCCACCCTGTGTCTGGCAAACACCCAAGTTCCATGTCACTGGTGCAAAATGCGATCATTCATAAGTGAAACGCAAGTGTTCTGCTCGGACCTCAGCTACAGCGTAATCAAGTTCTGCGGCAAGGTCGCGCTTGTTGGCTCATTATCTGACGCTCTGTGTAAGTATTAGCCTATCTTTGATCTAGTTGGATTTCACCTTGAAATTCGTCATCGTGCTCATGTCCAAAAATCTATGTACAACAGCAGAGAATGATGGGTACTGCTCAACTATTACTACCCCACAAACCCGAAAAATTCTGCTGAAACAAAACTCAACAACGAGTCATTTGAGGTCTAACGTATTTGGGGGACCCCGCGGCTTCGCGCGTGCGATAGAATTATCTGCTCTTCTCTCCCTCGCAATAGAGGCATTCTGATGTTTCTGACATGGCATATCAGACCACCGACTAGCTAAGTATTGTAAATACAGTACAAGCTCGAAAGAAGTTCCGAAGAAACAGTTGTGGGCTGAGAAGATTTTTGACTCAATTACAAAATTTTGTTGCCTGTTTGTTGTTGACTGTTATTGTTGACTACAAAGGATCAAACATTTGTTGCCGGCTTCCGTGGGATTTCTCAGCAAGTTCCCGGTGAACCTTGTTTGTTTTATTCTAATCTGACTGCTAGAATCGCGCTTCAAGTATGCGTTGAGTGAAGAGCCGATGAGTCATCACTCGCCGCGCGCCACGTGGTCCCATAAGAGAGATTCGGCCAGCGCCGATCGAGTCGTAGCAACCGGCCTGCCCGACATAGCTCTCCTTGTAGTAACTTTTTCCCTCTGGTACCTATAATATATCCTTTTCTAGAAGAATCAGCTGTACGACTTTCACTCATTTGAGATCCGAGTTATTGAGAACCCCATTTTGTTGCTTAATATGTGTATAGCGTGCTGACCATTATTCCAGGTTCAACTCAACTGTTCACAATTGCTAGTTACATAAATTCTTTAATTTGGAAGCTGAAAGGTTGATTTTTATACATTATCATCTAGTGTTTTTTTCTGAGGGCTTGTCGTCCTCACAATTTCTTCTCGCAAAATGCGATTTTTTTACAACATTCTTAGAAACCGTTCTGTTGAAACTATAAGAGTCAGGGGCCACGATTTGAGTCGAGTCTACACGTCCCCCTCCACTTTTTTCTAGGGGGTGATACGACCTCCCTGGCTCCCTCCCTATTAGAGCTGCCGAAGAGAAGGGAGGGATAGCACTTATGAAACAGTAACAACCACGAAAAGTCAGCGACCCTCTCTCAGCCGACAGACGCAAATGCGATCCCTCTCCACAGCGACAACTACACTTCCTACACCGGTGAGGAACCCCCAACCATGTGCCTCTGATAAGAGTTCCACTTTCTAAGAGGTATGGAAATACAGAATTTATGTAAGCTCTATTGTGAACAGTTGAGTTGAACCTGGAATAGTCAGCACGCTAAACACCACATATTAAGCAACAAAACGGGGTTCTCAATAACGCGGATCTCAAATGAGTGAAAGTCGTACAGCTGATTCTTTCACAAAAGGATATATTATAGGTACCACAGAGAAAAAGTTATCATAAAAACAAGGCAAGGGAGAGGAAGTCCTTAAAAGACTTCAGGCTAGGCTCATGCGTGCTCCAATCAAACTCCGCGCCCCAATCACAACTTGGGTTACGGTTGCTACGACTCATCGGCCTGCCGAATCTCTCTTGTAAAAGTTGATCGCAACAAAACAAGGCTAAGGGAAGGCGCAGGCTCACGCGTGGCTCCAATGCAACTCGCGCCCCATATCAAATTCGGGTTTTACGGTGCTTCGACATCGGGCCTGTCGAATCTCTCTTGTCGTGGTCCCCCTAATACGTTAGTCTCATTGATACCCTTCGTGCACAAATGCGCCATCGTTATTTTGACTAGCTGGTGCCATTGGGCACTAGTTCGGCGCCGTACACTTCTTCACGAATCGATGAAAGCCTGTATGATGGGGTTGTCTGATGCCCTGATCACGAATATAACATTCACTTTTGGTTTAGCGCTCTGCAAAGACTGGACCTGATCGAGGGTATTTTGGCGTCGGCGCGTGGAGCACGGGCGCCCGGCGATTTTGGGCTGAGCGGATGTGATATTCATGTTCAGGAGGTCAAACCCACCTTGGGGACAAGTTTTAGCGAATGACTGACTCGACCTCTTTATTCGCAGGCAGTTTCCTGGCCAAGCGGTGTGATATTCGTGTCCAGGAGGTGGAACTACCCCTGGGAACAAATTTATAGCCAAATCTACCCTCTTAGAAAAGAATAAAAGGATAAAGGATAAAGTCTTCGCCGTTAATCAATCCCTTTGTGGGATGCGGCACGCATTCTACTTCCATTCAGAATCGTAGTGGCTTATTGAATGCGATGTGGCCTATACAATGACTTGCGGGGGCCCAGTCGATGTACAAGTCAGTGTTATTATCCTCCCAGACGAATTTGGTAGCAATTTACTGTCCCTGGAGGGTAGAAGGCTTGGTTGGCCTGTGCGGGTGTCGACCCAGTATTCAAACACGGGACCGCGCGAGTGGTAAGCGCGGTCCTGGGTTCGAATCCCAGGACCGCGCCTGTCACTGCACCACCTCCTTTATCCTTTAGAGAAGAATAGGTTAAAAAAGCTTGCCTGA